GGAATCTCCCCATCCTCTCTCCGTGGACGTAGGCAAATTGCCGAACCATGTATATCTCTGTGTTTATGATTGATCTGTTGTATTTCAGTTTTGGATTGTGCTCGTGTGTGATTGGTTATTCTTCTCCTGTGCTTACGACTTGTTTGGTGAGCGAGCAAGCTTCCGCATAGGTGCACAACAATTGGTATCAGATTATGACAATTGGTATCAGAGCTCAGATTTCATATCTAGGGTTTTAGCATTAGGTGGAGGAAGATTCATCGTGAAAGCTTGGTTCTTAGAGTTTTAGGCTTCGGTGGAGATAGGATTTGAAGTTGCCGTTGGAGATCTCGCTTTCCTCGTGTGGTTAGGAGTTCTATTTGAAATCCAATCTAGGGTTCAGTTGGGTAATTTCTTATTTCTTTCAAAGTCTGAATCTTTCTTTGTAATTTGAAGTTTGCGAGTATAGGTGAAGAAGTTGGTGAAAGCAGCAAGATAGCGAGTACAGTCTAAGTTGGTTTTCAGAACACCAAAATTAGTATAGTGAAGTATGACGCAAGACCAACTTTGGTTTGTAGATAAGTGATGTTCAAGATGCACTCAATGCTTAGAATTTAGAGGAGACCATCATGATCCAAGAGAGACTACCAAAATATGAAGAGGCGATATGGGAAAAAATGAATAGGAACGCTTGTGGGGTGATCAGATCCTGTTTGGAACAGGAATTAAAGTATGATGTGATTGGGGTGATATCTGCAATGAAGATGTAAGAAATTCTCAACAATAAGTACCTTACGAAGAGTGTTGAGAACCGTTTGCACTTGCTGCAAAGATTGTTCAGATTTCAGATATCCCGAGGCACCTCACTAGCGGCTCATGTGAATAACTACACTAAGTTATTGTCGGACTTGGCGAATGTTGATGAGAAGATATCAGATGAGGATAAGACGATTATTTTGTTGGGCTCCTTACCGGATGAGGAGTATAATACCTTCGTGATTACTTTGTTGAATGGGAGGTCTTCTATCAGCTATACTGAAGTTACTAATGCTTTGAAAAACTATGATATGAGGAGGAAGGACAAAGAGACTTCTCGCGCTAGTACTTTAGGAATTCCAGTCCAATGATCGGGCATAAAGTCGGAGGAGGAGTCATCCCTACCTCTCATCCTCTCCCTCTTCACCGTCAGTGCGAAGATCTGAACTACATCCCTCGGCGGAAAGACCTCATCGGCTGTGTGATATCAGAAATCAATAGTTTGGCGCCCACCGTATCACCCACTCTCTTCTCTGAGAAGAAATGCCAAATTCTAAGCAGGGGCCTGATCTTGTTCATTCTTGAAGAACATCACTGGAATCACACCATTCAAGCTAAACAAAGACCTTGGCTCCTCATCAGGATAAGCCCAAGGCACAACGACTCCTCAGTCAGCACAAAGCCCTTAGCTCTTCTTAAAGGTAAGCCCCAAGGTACAACATATAGTTTGATTCCATCTGCTCTCATCGACCATCATGGTCAAGACCTTGACTCCTCATCAGGATAAGCCCAATGTACAATGACTCCTCAGTCGGCACAAAGCCCTTGGCTCTTCTTAAAGGTAAGCCCAAGGCACAACATATGGTTCGATTCCGTCTGCTCTCATCGACCATCATGGTCAAGACCTTGGCTCCTCATCAGGATAAGCCCAAGGCACAACGACTTCTCAACCAGTAACAAATACATTGGCTCCTCATCAGGATAAGCCTAAGACACAACGACTGCTCAGTCGGCATAAAGCCTTTGGCTCTTCTTAAAGATAAGCCCAAGGCACAACATATGGTTCGATTCCGTCTGCTCTCATCGACCATCATGGTCAAGACCTTGGCTACTCATTATGATAAGCCCAAGGCATAATGACTCCTTAGTCGGCATAAAGCCCTTGGCTCTTCGTAAAGGTAAGCCCAATGCACAACATATGGTTCGATTCCGTCTGCTCTCATCGACCATCATGGCCAAGACCTTAGCTTCTCATCAGGATAAGCCCAAGGCACAACCCTATGGCCGACTTCCACAGTTGTCTCTCAGCTATATGGGAAGCCCTAGTCAACTTTCTTCGTAGTTCTAGGCATTCGACTCCTCAGTCGGATTTCAAAGCCCTTGGCTCCTTTTTAGGATAAGCCCAATGCATAACTCTATGGCCGACTCCCATAGTTGCCTCTCGGCCATAAGAGGATTATGAAGACTTAGGTCCAGCATGCAGCCCAGCCTCAGAATTATCATCCTACCATTAAGACCTTGGTATCATCATGAGTAAATCCAAGGCATGGAGTTTAATTGTCTGGTCATCTTTAGACAAAAAGACTCAAAGCACTTCGACTTTCCAGTCTTCATAGACCAAGGCCCGAGCATCGTGCCCACAGTAGGCGTAATATGAGCCAGTTGTCAAGCCGACTCGTAACACTCGGGTTGACACAACACAACCAACTCAAGAATTGTCACTTGGTTCGCGCAATCAGAGCAAGTTTACAAAGCAATCAGCATCCCTAACTTTAATCTAGAGCTTTATTCATTTCACTTGGACTCAGCTAAAGTCGACTCCAAGAAAAAGGGGCCAACTGTTATGGGGTACAACTGTTTCCAAATGTATGATCTGATGAGTCGACATCTCGACCAGCCAGACAAGCCGACAAGATCTGCCGACTCGGGAGGCAGTGTTAGTCGGTACGAAAATCAGCATTCCAGAGATTCGACACTCCTCAGAGTCGCCTGAAGGATAGCCGAGTCATCACTCCCTCAGTCGAGTCAGCATCATTCCTCAAAGGCAACTCGAGAGGCGGACTCAGTCGACCCTCTTCATATCAAAAGATCGCTACACATTGTTAGTCGACACTCCTCCCGAGGACAACCCAGAATATTACTTTACCTTTGATGATCACCATTATGTCCACATCCTCAGCCGTCTGAAGACTTGTTGGCTATTGGCTCCCAATGTCGTTGAAGTGACCTCCCGTCACTCACAAACCGACAAGACTCGTCGGCTGCTGACTCCCAATATCATTGAAGTGACCTCCCGTCACTCATAAACCGACACATATAGAACAAAGGGTGACTCAACCTCCAGCTCACCCCTCACCACCGTCTTACAGTACACTCATAAAGTGACCAATCTGCCCTTGGCATCCTCTATAAATACAGATGTTATTCGCGGGTTATCAAGTTGGCAGGTAGGCAATCAATACTTTCCTCCTGATCTAAATCTGAGAGATCATCGTCTCTAATGCACATATCATAAGAACACAGTTCTATTACTCCACTCAAGCTCAAGTTCATCAACAGACTTGATCGTCGGAGGTACCACGAGGGAAACAAGCCGCACCCTCTCACGATTCTTACGTGTGCAGGTCATTTCTTGTTTGTGCAGAAGGATCGGGAATTCCATTCTAACGATCGGGCATAAAATCGGAGGAGTTGGCCCCACCTGTCATCCTCTCCCTCTTCGTCATGAGTGCAAAGATCTGAACTGCATCCCTCGGCGAAAAGACCTCATCGGCTGTGTGATATGAGACATCAACAGTATCAATTATAACACAAAAAGACCCGAAACATATGCTTTAATTCTTTTCAATATATTGTATTATTTTTTTCAACTTCTACTCCGCATCGATATAAACTTGTTGAAGTATTAATTGTATTTGAAATGAATTTAATAAAGTACTCAACAACTCTTGTGTTCACACGTTGCTATGCTGTTGTTTGCTTCGATTTTAAACTTTTAGAAACTGTATTAATGTAATCATAAAATGAAATATAAAATTCAAATAAAAAATGAAAAATTATACTATTAAACAATTGTTTTGTTTACCCGTCGCTGTATCTCATCGCTGACTTCTATAAGGCTCAGAGCACCGGTATGTTGTTTAATTATTATGCTTTGGTCCCATCGAGGATATTACTTGCAAAATACTTAAATTAAGCGAGAGCTTTGTTACAGGGACCCAAAATATGGGACCAATAAAGGGGACAAGTGAGATGTCCCCCTCCTATTGGATAATGAGTTGGTCATCATTAATGATAGCCAACTCATTATCCAATAGGAGGGGAACACCTCACTTGTCCCCTTTATTGGTCCCATATTTTAGGTCCTTAAAGAATTTTTCATTAAGCGAACTTAAGGTGGGGACAGTCGTTAAGAAAGGATCACAGTGCAATAATCTAAATAGAGAATCTGAAGCCGACTCGCGTCGCCAAGTGCCGGCACAAGATGACAGAACACAAGACAACGCACAAAATACAAAAACGCTGTTTGTCTCGCGCGTGATGCATCACGCAAGTTTGTGGGAGTTCGGTGGGACCACGTCACGTGGGTCCCACCGAACTCCCCACAAACTTGCGTGATGGCATCACGCGCGAGACAAATAAGCACAGCTCCACAAAATAAAAGCTACAGAAACCAATTTATCCGCGCAACTCTTTATCATGATAATAATAAGGTTCTGATCTCCTCTAACACGTTTCCAGTAATGGAGTCTCAATCTACTGGACCTCGCGGCCTTCCTCTTCGCTTCCCTCTCCTTCCTCTACCTCGCCACCACAGGCCGGCGAAACCTCCGCCGGGCCCCCGCGCCCTCCATCCTCGGGTACCTCCCTTTCTCCGCCCGAACTCCACACCCCACTTCTCCGCCCTCTCTAAAACCTACGGCCCCATCTTCCGCCTCGCCTCGGCTCCAAGCTCGCCGTGGTCGTCTCGTCCCCGTCCCTCGCCCGCGAGGTTCTCCGCGACAACGGACGCCGTCCTTGCCAAGCGCGACGTTCCTCTGCCGCCCCGCGTCATCGCCTACGGGCGGCTCTGACATCGTGTGACTGGCCCGGCGGCCCCGTCTGGCGCATGCTCCGCCGCGTCTGTGTGCAGCGGATGCTATCCCCCGCCACGCTTGACTCGTGTATCACTGCGCCGCCGCGAGGTGCGGTCCACGGTCAGCCACCTCCGGCAGTCCGCTGGGAAGCCCGTTGATGTCGGCGCCCTCGTCTTTTTATCGGTAACGAAAGAATAGCGGGTTGAACAAACTTGAATTCTCTATTTATTTTCGTTGTTTAATTAATTAATACGAGCTGCACACCGAAACTAATCGAAAACATATAGTACCCAAAAATCATAAATGATCACAAGGATGACTGTACTTTTCTAGGCTTCTTTGTGGATTGATCCCCGGAACGAGTTCTACTGTTTGCAGATAGATCCACTGAAAAGGGTCCAAGAAAAGAAAACTTGGCAACAATTGAACTACAATGGCAACAACAATAAAACATTACGCCGTGAGGATTTTGATCCTGCAAACCTGGTTGATTATTGTCTTGTTTTTTCTGCAAATCTGGTAGGTAATCAACGTGATCACGAGCATGCTTTGGGGAGGAACGGTAGGTGAAGGAAATAGGAATGATTCAGTGGGAAGTGAGTTCCGGGAGCTAGTCGGTGAGATAACGGAGTTGCTCGGAAAACCGAACTTGTCGGATTTTTTCCCAGCTATGGAGAGGTTTGATTTGCAGGGGATTCAGAAAAGGATGAAGGGGCTGCTGGAGAGGTTTGATAGGATGTTCGCGAGGATAATCGAGGAGAAGAGGACGGAGGGCGGGGAGAAGGAAGGAGCCAAGGATATGTTAGAGTTTATGCTGAAGCTGCAGGAGGAGGAGGCTGAGGGGAACGTGGCTTTTACTATGACTCATGTCAAGGCTCTTCTAATGGTAAGCTGAGGATAAATTTTCCAGGAAATTAAAAAAATCACAGGTATAGCCATCCTCGTGAACAGTTTTTTCCTATTTCGATCATATTCCCGTTCTATTGTAAAACAGGACATGGTCGTTGGAGGGACGGATACTACATCAAACACGGTGGAATGGGCACTGGCCGAGATGATGAACAAACCTGAAACCCTGAGAAGAGCTCAAGAAGAACTCGAACATGTTGTAGGCAAGAACGGCATCGTCGAGGAATCCCACCTTCCAGAGCTGCACTACTTGCACCTCGTAATAAAAGAAGTCCTCCGTTTACACCCAGCACTCCCTCTGATGGTCCCGCACTGCCCGAGCAAACCTTGCACCGTTGGAGGCTACACAATCCCGGAAGGCTCTAGAGTTTTCATCAACGTCTGGGCTATTCATCGCGACCCTTCGATTTGGGAGAATCCGTCAGAATTCAAGCCTGAGAGGTTTTCGGATACGAGCAGGAAGTGGGATTTCAGTGGAAACGACTTCAGTTATTTTCCGTTTGGGTCGGGGAGAAGGATTTGTGCAGGGATTGCGATGGCTGAGAGAATGAGTTCATATACTTTAGCCTCTCTTTTGCATAGTTTTGAATGGAAGTTGCCTGAGGATGCGGGGCTTGATCTAACTGAAAAGTTTGGGATTGTTATGAAGAAGGCTAAGCCTCTGATTGCGATACCCACACCAAGGTTAGATAACCTTGATCTTTATTCTTAGATGCGTTTAAATGTTCAAAATAAAAGTTTGCGTCCTTTATGACTGTTATACATTTTGATTTCCATGATGTAGTTGCGATCTTATTCGAAAGAAACGTATCCTTTGTAATCATTTTATTTGGAAAGAAGGCATATTATTAATCTTTTTGTAGAAATTTGGTACTGTTTTTGTTTCTAAAAGTCTGGTATAATTTTTCAAGAAGGCCAAGTCATTGATTGCGATACCCAATCCAAAGGGGAGAGGGGCTAAAGGGGCCTTGGCCCCACATTGAGAAATAGAAGGAAAACAAGAGGGGTGAAGAGAAACCACTGGATGGATGAAGGAAGGAATGGAGAAGGATGACGAGTTTGCTGGGTTTTTGGAGTTGAAGGCTGAGAAATGAAAGGAAGCGGGTAAAGGGATCCATCTCTTCTTTGGTTGTTTGGTGTTCCAGGACTCTTCCCCTTTTTGTCATTTCTTACTAGAGAAAAGGAGCAGGAACACATGGGTAGCTGTTTAGGGGAATTCATGGGTTTAGTTTCTTTTATTTTGTGTGGTGCTTATGGGTGCTAGATCGTATATGTATTCGAGAAAATATTCATAACCGTATCCGTTAGGATACGGATATGGTTACTCAAATCTATAAACGATAGGGTATGGTTACGGATATGGTTTTGTAATGAAATATCCGTATCCGTATTCGAAATATCTGAATACATATTAGTCGTACTTTTACCATAGTTTCGATTCTTAGATTATGGATTTGTGGTTAATTTTGACAATCAAGATGTCTAATCTTAGCTTTTCAATTACAATGAACATATTAACGAACTCTTTTGTATCACAGTTGTTAGACCCTAGAGGGAGGGTGATTAGGGTCTTATGCTAATCTAATCCCGATTAAATTCCAATTAAAATTATGCAGATCAATTTGTTCTAGCAAGAGATAGATATGAATAAGAACGATAAGAAAAAGCACAAATAAAAATATACGCTAAGCAAGCACAAACACAAGATATGTTTACAAGGTTCGGTCCTCACGACCTACGTCCCCGCTTCTCACCTCGAGGAGATATCCACTATCACAATCCGGTTTGGAAGCCGGAACTTCTACACACTCGGTTTACAAGATCACCGAAAACTCTCACACTACACAATCACTAATCAATCACACTTTACACACTAAGTGTAGGAACCTAGCCCGTGTCCTCCTCCTCAAGTGCTCGGATGCAACCTCTCCCTAGGTTCGTCAACCGATGCCACTCCTATTGGATTCGACCCCGTCTCTCGTCTCACACTTCGCTCGGTGTACAAGTGTATTACAAGTGATACTCACAAATAAATATTAAATACAATGGTTTGTTCTCAATAACAAATGAGAACGCAAATGAAGCTCACACTCACTAAATCACACTCCACAACCCACACTATATAGTATGAAGATATTAAGCTCAATATGTGTGTGTGATAACAGTGAATAAAAATAATACAACTCAATAAATATAGCTAAGATATGAAAATTAAGTGGAAAGCTATATGTAAAGATGAGTTAGAGAAAACTTCTCCATAGACAAGAAGAACAGTGGATGATGAGATTAAAAATCATCTTCTTATAGTAGGAAAACTTCTTTTGAAAACAGACTGATAAAATCAGCTTAAACAGCTCTTTTAAACACACTTAAGATTTTGTTAAACACAAAACTTAGATCTAGTGAAAGAGAGCAGCAATGGGGTATTTATACCCACTCAAAAACTCAGCAAAAACCAACTTGAAATAACCAAAAAGGCCCCAGAGAACCGTTGTAAAAATAGCCGTTAAAAAGCAACGATGACATCGGCGGTCGACCGGTCGACCGCGAACAATAAAAAGGCAGACTAAGAAAATTTGTTCATGGCGGTCGACCGTGGCGGTCGACCGCAAACTGGCACAGTCTGAAAACCTGTTTTTGGGCTGATTTTGAAAATACTTTAAAAATAGCAAATCAATTCCAAAAATAATAAAACTTTGGAAAAAGTTTTTAAATGATAAAATGAACATGTTAGAAAAGGAATTTTGGAAAAATAATTTTCGTTTGCAAAAACACACTGTTTTTGAAAAGTGTTCGTAAAACCTGTATTTTATGAATATGAAAATTTTGATATGACTTATAACCATGCAAATATATATCATGCATATATTATATGTATATAATAAAGTATGAATGAGCTGTTATATATATATAATAGAGTATGAAAGAGCTGTAAACATGAAATAAGAGATATTGTAACAACGTTTGATGAAAAATCATTTATATGATAGAAAACGTCAAAAATCGTGTTAAGTGTACATATATTGAGCTTAAATATAAACATACAATATATGTAAGTAAACTACTCTTATACCTAGGTAACTCCACACATATGAACTTGAATCTTTAACGCTTGATTGTCGTGTGTTGAAATACCTGTAAAGAGAAACATAAAAACAAAACTAGAGAATATATTAGCGATAAATTGTTTGACAAATCATCATCAAAACTATAGGGTCAACAACAGCAACTATGTTTTTCTCAATACTATCTAGTTTTCTCATACGTACTTTGTATCTACATGCATATCCGCTTATATATCCACATGTCTATCCGTAACCGTATCCGATTTTAGTGGATATGGATATAAATTTTCCTTACCGAGGTATATCCGTATTCTTATCCATATCCGAGATGAGTAAACGGATATAAATATCGTAAGCATCATATTCGAGCCGTATCCGGACCGAATATAGCCCTAGTGGTGGTTGGTGAATGTAGAGTGAAACAATTAAATGAGCACACATGCTTAAAATGTTTTATTCTCATCACAGACCCACTACAGTAAACCCAATCACAACTCTTTATTGTGCATCTAATACTATTCTCATTCTAAAAGTGTTAAGGGTGTTAAAAATTTTCTTCCAATAATAACCTCAATAAAATACCAATTGACAACAAATATATAGCAACTTCACTATTCTGCCAACTAGAAAAAAGAAGAACCTAAGAACTTTATAAGGCCAAGATGGACCCCCCCGGGGGTGGGGGGTGGGGGGGGCGGCTTCAAAGGGGTGACTTTTAACTCTCAATAATAATACCAGTTCACAATTAATCTATGTCATCAAGCCAATAGTTATTTATTATCATGTTAAAAGTTGCATTCACCCGAATGTCTTATTCTCCCTTCCCATTACAGTTACCAAAGCTATTCAATCACTTATGTATTTATTTGTCATGTTAAAAATAAAAATTGTTCCTACGATAGTTACAAATAGCTCATTATTTCAGTTTAACCTATTGCGTGTACTAACCAACAAAATATGAAAGAGCGACCTTTTGGTCACCTTACTTTGTGTGTAATAATGCCATGAAACCTCTTCAGTTTGTTAAGTAAATGATAATCCATATAAGTGCAATGTTTATCCCAAATATTTCATTTACACCTATTTACACCTATCAATGATAAATAATTATTAATGAAAATTTCAGTTTAGAACTCTAAACATGTAATTCTTCTTAATTTCTTGTGTGGTATGCTCTCAATTCAAACATATTCATCTCCTCCATTTCATAATTATTGGAACCTGTTGGGGGCAAAGTCAGGCCCTCACGTCGCGGAAGCGATATCACCTGAGAGAGAGCCATTGCTTCTATTTTCATGAAAGCTTAAGTCAACCTCTATATTCCCGTTTCACAAAGGAAACAAGAATAGAAGTGAAATATCTCAACAAAGTGAGATATACACTCTTCCTCTCATCAGTTCTAGGATGAATTGTCGAGGGAATCTACAAGCAATAGCAAACACCCAGAAAATAGTAAGACATGAGATTTACGTGGTTCGGCAAACTTGTCTACGTCCACGGGAGGGGTGAAGGAAGATTCCACTATGAGGAGAACACCCACGACTTGTACAATCCACAAGCTCGTCTCAAAGAAGAAGATTTGATTTCTCTCTCTCAAGATCTCTTATTTTCTCTCCTTAAGTCTACTTGAAAAACTCTCTGTTTGCAACCGACTAAACCCCTGTATTTTTCTCCTCACACAAAACCCTAGGAAGAAAAAACACGTTGGTATTTATAGCAAACACCGCCAGCCCAATTACCCACTGCACACAGATTTTCGAGTGGGCCCGAACTGCTGCTCCCGTGTGTAAATGAGAATATAGAGGTTGGCTTGAGCTTTTGTGAAAATACAAGCAAGGGCTCTCTCTCAGGTGATATTGCTTTCGCGACGTGAGGACGTGACTCTACGCCCAACAGAACCACCAATCTATAAGTACAACCTTTCACTTCTACAACCTTTCACTTTTTCCCCTCTTACCAATCTCTCCTCAACCATAAAAAAGAAGTCTCTAAAATTAAGTTCTTGCTCTTATAATTTCTCTCATTTCCACTCGCACAATAGTTCATGGTCTCTTTTACTGCCAATCAACCCCACTCAAGGATGATGATGCTAGCCATTATTTACTGGAGTGCGATGCTGCAACCAAAGGTGGCAATTTATGACCCGACCTATGTTTGGTTCAGAAATTATTTTTATTGATGAATTCATTATAACTTTGGGCATTACAATAAGTTCAAAAGAAATAGTCTTTTTATAACTCTTACAAAGTTACAATCTCCTCAAACAAACGCAACGGACGTTTATCTTCCGCTGCTTGCGTGGAATCTTTGCCTATGACATGGATATTGATATCCGTGGACCACCAAACGATCAGATCGATCCGGGGCTTCGTTGATTCGCGAAGGAATCAATAAACCGAAGCAATTATCGCGGCAACAGCTAGATAACTACTCTTCTCGAGATCACCCAATGGGGTAATCTCAAGGAAAAGAACCAGGAATTGTGGATCTGACGAACTCTTCTTTTTTTGTGCTGAAGAACTCAATTCGATCTCCTCCTCTCTTCTGAAATTCATGCTCCTTCAGTCTTCAATTCAGTAGGACTTCGCCGACGCTCGAGAATTCCAGATCTGTGCAAATGAAGACCATAGGGATGTATTTATAGGCTTCAGGAGCCCTGTTTTTGGATAAGAATGAATGGTTTGCTCTTATCCTCAGTTATAACCACTTTATCACATTCTTGGATGATATTAGTGTTGGGTCCTTTTGTTTTGATGATGTTTAACAAACAATTTATAACTAATGTTATTTGTCTAGTATTTGTGTTTTGTATTTATTCAAGATAAACAATATGTTGGAGGATGGATGGAATCGAGCATTCACAATCATATCCAATGGAGGTTGGCGGAATAGTGGTTGAAGCCTTGCAATTCAAGTTGAAGATCCAAGTTCAAGTTTCATCCGCAAGTTTACCAAGTCGAACTCATTGAAAACCTTCATCAAACTTGGGTATTTTAGTTTATGTTTTATATTATGTGTGTTAAGTACTCTAAGCTCAATAGCATATACACACACATTTTAGTTTAGGTTTTGAAGGCATTAACAATTTGTTGGATTCTCTTACACTTAATACAGTACTGAGTATCAATAAAAGCAAAAGCAGAATTTTTTTCAGTAAAGGATGTAGAAATAAAGATGTTCTAAGTTCTATTATGGGAATATCAAGTGGGTCTCTACCTATAAAATATTTGGGTTTACCTTTATCATTCAATTATCCTAAAGCTAAGGATTTTCTTCCACTTATTGATAAAGTTAGGAATAAGATTGAGGGCTAGATGACATACTCTTTATCATTTGCAGGGAGGCTTGAACTCATCAAATCAGTTCTATTTAGTATCATTGCTTATCGGTATTTTGTTTATAAATTCCCCAACTCTATTGTTCACAGTTTGGAGTCAATTTTTGCTAACTTTCTATGGAAAGGTAAGCTACATGCTATCAACTGGAAGGATATTTGTCGTCCAAAACAAGAAGGTGGATTTGGATTGAGAAAATTAGATGATCTCTGTCATGCTGCTGCCCTAAAATTGATATGGAGACTACTTACTACTACTACTACTCTATGGACTAATTGGATGAATGTCAGATATGTCAGGGGAGGAAATATTTGGGATGCACCAGCTCATGTAATGGACTCTGGTACTTGGAAGCATTTATCAGGTCTTAAATCAAAAGCAATGTGTTGCATAAGGAAAACTATTGGTAATGGTGAAACAACTTCTCTATGGTTTGATCCATGGATACTTGAAGGCAGACTTTCAGATATTCTACATCAAATAAACCCACATCTCACAGGCACAGAAAATTGGTCAGTTGCTCACATAATTCAAAACTCTCAATGACATGTTGTATTACCATGTCTTATCCCAATAATGCAGTCTATCTCAAATATTCAAATATCTGGTCAAGAAGATCACTGGTTTTGGCTACCAAATGCAAATGAGAAATTTACTTTTGCTTCAGCATGGGATCAAGTAAGAACCTCCTACTCAAATTTTGAACTTTACAATGTGGTTTGGTTTCCTTCCTCAAACCCTAAGATGGCTTGTTGCTTGATTAAAAGTTTATATAATAGATTGGCTACTAGGGACAGACTGTCCAGATTTGGAATCACCTCTGCTGATGAGTGTGTTCTCTGTTCTGGTGGGATTGAGTCTAGAGATCATCTATTTTTTCAATGTCCCTTTTCAGCATATATCTGGAAACTCTGCAAACTCAAGCTACAGATTGATGCTATGGTCATAAATGACCTAAGAACTGAAGCACTAAAAATCCAATCTAAGTTCAAAATGAAAGACAAAACTTATAAACTGTCCAGAATGGCTTTAAGTGCATCTGTTTGGCATATTTGGCAAGAAAGGAATAGACGTATATTTCATGCTCAACAGATGCACAAGTTGATGGTGTTTAGGCGACTCTACGAGGATATCAATGCATTGCTTAGAACCTGCACATGGAAGATTGGTAATAAGATTATCCTTGCTAATTGGGAATCCGCTAAGCATTGTAATTAATTTCTTTCATTCCAGTGTTTTAGAGCTATATTGATTTGTATTAGGATCTGTACTTGTTTTATGTTTGGCTTTGGGTCAATCAGGTTTTCTCTCTAGGTTCTTTAGTTGAGGGTGACGGCTAGGGTCCTCTCCCCTCTCTAAAGCTTCTTATGTTAGAATCCTGAGTAGCCTAGCCAATTCTGTTATGTATATATACACAAGTTTTGGTTTTATAGTTTACAAGTTTATATAAATATGAAACATATATTATTGTTTACATATATATAAATGTTTCATATTTGTTAAATGCATATTGTGCAAAACCTTATTTTTGCATAATATTGAGTTATTAGTTTATAGACTTAACAATCATAACATACATCTTTTATTAAGTCTATAAAATCAGTTTTTAAAGTTTCAAAACATGGTTTATGTCCAATGTCAAAAACAAGTGGTTTTCATTTACATGTTTTGGACTATTTTATAAAATGAAGAGATTTCTCTTTTGGGAGGAGTATTTTGAAAACCAGCTTTTGTAACATGTATATTATCATGTTTACAATCATTTCCCAAAGTTTTATATTTTTTTGATTTTATTTACTATTTTTAAAAGAGGTTTGAAAATCAAATTTTTGTTTCAAAACAGGCTGATAACTTGTTATCAGTCGGCTGGTCAGTCGACTGATGACATCAGTTGACTGATGTGTCAACTGAAGAAATTGCCTGGAACAACAAATAGTTTTTATTTTGTTTTGGTCGACTGACCAGTTGACTGATGAGGTCATCAGTCGATTGATAAGGTCGTCAGTCAACTGATGAGCTGGAAAATACCTCTAACGGTCAGCTCATTAGTCGACTGATGAAAGCTGTCAGTCGACTGATGCTGTAACGGCTAGTTTTTCAGCCTTTTACAGTTTTGGTTTTTTTGGTCTTTTTTTCTTGTTTTCTCTTGCCTTTGCCTATAAATACCCCCACATATCTTTAGTTCTATACAAAAAAAAGAGAAAAGTTTCACAAGGGTTTTAAAAGTTTGTTTAGTTTGTTTAAAGGTGTTTAAGCCTTGTTTAAGTATTTTGTTTGTGATGACAATTTCACAAGAGCAAGTGGAGATCATCTATTGGTGTTTGAGCATTCACTCTTCTCCCTCTCTCTTGTTATCATATAGAGAAGTTTTCCTAAACTCAATCTAGCTATTTTATATGTTTGATTTTCATTTCCATAAGCTAGAATTTATTTGAGTTTAGTTTTGATTTACTCATTGTTTACACACACAATAATTAAGCTTATTGTATTTTTATACATTGTATAATTTGGGTTGTGGAGTTTGTGTGACATTGAGTATGAGCTTACATTTTGTTCTCATCCATTGTAGAGAATAATTTATTTGTTGAGTGCCTAAATTGTGAGGTTCACTTTGTAATACACTAGTACACCAAGAGGAGTGCGTGGAGAGAGATGGGGTCGTTCCAAGAGGAGTGGGGTAGGTGGTAATGCCTAGAGAGAGGTTATAATTCCTAAGACTTGAGGGAGACACGTGCTAGAGACCAACACTTGAGATGGTAGTGAGTGTGATTGCAAGAGTGTGGATTATAAAGTTTTCGGTGAACTAGAAAACCGAGTGTGAGGTGTAAACGTTATTCTGGTGAGCATAGAAAACCCGGTTGTGATAGTGGATATCTCCTCGAGGTGAGGAGCGGAGACGTAGGTCGTGGGGACTGAACTCCGTGATCATATCATTTGTTTACGTTTGTCTTTGGCATTCATTTATATTCGTACTTATTGTTTATATCGCCTTTGTCAAGTGCTCTTTCTTTATATTGCCCACTATCTTGTTTATCTTGTTTATATTTATTTAACCATTGTGTTACATGTATATCCTTGCACATATATTGTTCATATCTCATTTGCTAGGATATTTGTTAATAAATTTTTAATTTTGCATAAATCAGATTAGATTAGCATAAACCCTATTCACTCCCCTCTCTAGGGTTCTTTCCTAGTGGTATTAGGGTACTTTCAATTAGATCAGTTGAAATAAATTCAGGTGGTTAACGGTCGAAAAACGACTCAAAAACAGCAAAAACAGCTTTTTGGGGTCTGGGATGTTGGACCCTAGAGGGGGTGATTAGGGTCTTAAGGCTATAATTGTGCAATAAAAATAAGACAAGCAATACACCACAATAATGAATAACAAATGTAGAGGAGATAGAGTGAGAAATCGTTATCCAAGTGACGCGCGATGTGTTAACGAGGTTCGGACCGCTGACCTACGTCCTCGCTCCCCACTCTCGAGGAGAATCCACTACACAACCCGGTTTGGAAGTCGAAACTTCTTCTACATAACAATCTCCACAAGATCTCACAACTATACAGTTAATCACCACAAGATCACACTCCCACACAGTTGATCTTCATAAGATCAAGCTCTCAACAATAGTAATTGTGTAAAAACTCTCTCTTTACAATGTCCCTATGGCAAGGAGAAAGATTACACTGAAGCTGGGAAGTGAAAGTGTAAAAACTCTCTCTTTACAATGTCCCTATGGCAAGGAGAAAGATTACACTGAAGCTGGGAAGTGAAACTGAAAACAGAGAAAATCTACAATGTCCCTATGGCAAGGAGAAAGATTACACTGAAGCTGGGAAGTGAAACTGAAAACAGAGAAAATCGGGTTTAAAAATTTTGGCTCTCAGTAAAACAGATCTCTGGTTTTTTAAAAGCTTGGGATACTTGAGGAAGAAGGAGTATAGGGGTTTAAATAGGAGAAAATACAGCTGTTTAAACCCATACCCTAATCCCCCAAATCTTGGAAAAATCAGTGCTGAAATCTGTACCCAAAAGACCGTTTGAATAAGCGGTGGTCGACCGTACAATTCTCGTGGTCGACCGCGAGCCAGCTTTAAAACTTGGAAAATTTCCAGAGACTTCTGCGGTCGACCGTGACAGTCGACCGTGGGAATTTTCAAGCTCACGATCGACCGTGATGATCGATAGCGAAAGTTTCTGCTGCCCACTCAGAAAAGAACTCAGGCGCGGTCGACCGTGACTGTCGATCGCAAACTGATACACATGCAAATACTGTTTTTGACTCTCTTAAAAAATTTGTAAAATATTTAATAGACTTACAAAAGTTATGAAACTTTGTAAAATGTTTTTAACACTAAAAACAAATTGTTTGGAAAATAAATTTTTTGAATAGGTCCTCATACTTGTAAAAAATGATATTTTTGTGAAAACGCTCAAAACTATAAGTATGAAAACGTGTGTGTGATATCCCAATAGCTTCAAATAAAATCTAAACTACTTGCCTACATTCTAGCACTAGAGAGAAAATAAAAACTAGCTAATATCTTCACATAGAATACAATTCTTTGAGTCTTGATATAGCTTGAGTTTGATGAAGCTTCTTATTGCATTTGGTGTTCTTGAATAAACGTTGCTTCATCACTATGCCTCCTCCTCCTTTGGATATCATCGTTGTAGCTCATATTCCATCCAATCCTCCATGCATGGCACTAACATGCTTAATATATATATTAACTACATTATCACTCAACAAGCAATTAGTACCGATAATGGTGATTGTAAAACATCATCAAAACAAGAGGGCTAACAATCTCCCCCTTTTTGATGATGACAACCAACCATTATATAGGAGTAAAATAAATATAGCTTATAGATAGTAACTCCCCCTATCTATGAGCTCCCCCTTACTATGTGCACAAATGAGGAGATTTCTCTCCCCTTTTGTCATCATCAAAATGGGGTAAAAAAATATAAACAAAAATGCATGTGAAATTCAACTAATCAAGTAAGCAAATAGAACTTTCACATAGTGCATAAGCCAAAACCATTTCTTATGCGACAAAAATCATTTTCACCAAGAGGCTTGGTAAAGATATCCGCTAATTGAGATTTTGTGTCAACAAACACAAGGGATACATCTTGTCTCTCTACATGATCGCATAAGAAATGATGGCGCACATCAATATGTTTGGTTCTAGAATGCAAAACCGAATTTTTTAAAATATTGATAGCACTAGTGTTATCACAAAAGATTTTTATATTTTAAAAATTCAAATCATAGTCAACTAAGCTTTGTTTCATCCACAAAACTTGGGTACAACATAAGCCGGCGGCAATGTATTCCGCTTCCGTAGTGGATCAAACAATACAATTTTGTTTCTTAGAAGCCCAAGAGATAAGGGAATTACCCAAGAATTGACATGTATCACTCGTACTATTGCGATCTACCTTACAACCGGCAACGTCGGCATCACAAAAACCATATAGATCAAAAGATGTTCTTTTAGGATAAAATAAACCAAGATCAATAGTTTCATGCACATATTTAATGATTCTCTTAACCGCAATCAAATGAGATGCTTTAGGAGAAGCTTGAAAACGTGCACATGCACACACACTAAACATGATATCAGGTCTACTAACGGTGAGATAAAGAAGACAACCTATCATACCTCGGTATAGTTTTTGGTCCACATCCTCACTACTATCATCTGCATCAAGCTTGACACTTGTACTCATGGGAGTTGGTGCAAGCTTTGATTTCTCCAAATTGAATTTATTCACCAATTCTCTAGCATACTTGCTTTGAGAAATGAATATCCCATCCTTAGTTTGCTTAACTTGGAGTCTGAGAAAGAATATGAGCTCTCCCATCATGCTCATCTCAAAGTGATCTTGCATAACTTTAGAAAAATCCTTGCAAAGATATTCATTAGTAGCACCGAAAATGATATCATCAACATATATTTGAACTAAAATAAAATTATTTTTCCTTTTTCTCACAAAAAGAGTATTATCAATTTTTCCTTTAGAAAAACTATTTTCAAGAAGAAAACTAGAGAGGCGAGCATACCAAGCTCTAGGAGCTTGTTTTAACCCATATAAAGCTTTTTGAATCCGGTAAACATGATTAGGAAAAGCATGATCTATAAAATCAGGGGGTTGCTCAACATATACTTCCTCTTCAATATGACCATTTAAAAAAGCACTTTTA